CTCTCGCACCCTAAGCGAGAATCATACCCCTAGACCAACGAGCCATACTTTTACATCTAAAAGGAGGTTACAAATGTTGCTTTCCTATTCTTTCCAGACCTGTACTTAAATTGTATTCTGCTGATGTGGCATCTTATAGACCCATATCATATCTGGTCAAAGAGCGCCCTCTGCTGCTCAACATTTTATATCCCATTCAGCACTCTGAGCTCTACACAGCCTTCTCGTGTGGAACGGTGCCTCATTATTGAGGCTATTTTGAGCAGATTACATCAACATATGCTGCATGGTGTGTGGGCCGGCCTCACCCAAACAGACCTCAAGTTGAAAACTCACCCATTTGGGAGTGTGATATGGCTGCTGGCTGTCCCCCAAGCTCTGCTCAGGATTGCACCTATTTGTTCATTTGGCTTGCTGTTTCCATTGTTTTCCCTCAGCACGTGAGCTCAGACAACAGCTAAAAATATTCTTATGACATAGGATGTCTTCATTTTTCTGTCAAGGTTTTATTTAATCGAAGCACATTTCTTATGACGTTAATGGAGGTGAGCACTTGGAGTGGGCCTGGCTGTAACTTTGTAGCAACATATTAGCGGAAACATTTCTAGCGTGTCATTTTCTTCGGTTTCATCACAGATGATTGTTCTCACAGACTGTTTAAGAAGATGACTTCTGATAATACTTTCTTGGGTGTTTTTTTTCCTCAGATTATCGTCACTTGGATTTGTAGGTTTGCTAATTTTCCATCTTCATTGACACATTGAGCTTCTACCAAATGATCAGTCAGAGTGAAGTTGCTTTGTTACTGTTAAATTGCCCATTTTTGTCATTTGTGCAGTGGATAAGTCTAAAGTACTGTGTACCTTACACATAAATGACAGCCTTTTTGTATTCAGATTGAATGTCATATATTTGTGCATCATGTGAGAGATCCAGTATTATTTTAGATAATATAAAAATGAAAGAGAGACCGAGAGGCTTTAGTTTAGTGTTTGTGCAATTAAGTGTGATAGTAGATGTTACCATATATCTTGTTCGCTGTCAGTGTGGGACATGTGTAAGCTTACTGGATTTACTGACTTTGTGACTTTGAATAACATCTTCTGTGAACTTAAAGCTTCAAGTCTGTTGTGAATGTATATCCTTTGATTTAGAAGTCTCCAGGATAAAGTCAGGTGTTGGAATCTGAAGATGTACGGGTGATTTGGCAGGCTGTACAACACAAACTAGTGGCCGTCAGTGTTAAAACAGCAGTCACAGTAGACAGACCTAATGATGCTATGAGAACAATTATTAAATTGCACATAAAACCAAATATGTATATTTGTACAAAAAGTTTTTGGACATATATGACGATTGATTAATAGGTATTCCAATAATGTATGGCCTCTTTCTGACATATTTCTCTAATCTAAAATCAGGAACAACAACTTGCATTCGTCTGATTAATTTGTTTGTATGTACCACACAAACCCTTAACGTCAAATGTATCTGTGTAAATGTAATATTCCGGGCTAAATACCCATGTGGCATCTTCTTTTTTTGCCTTTTTTTAAGCTTCCGGGTTTCCCCTCGTAAACACGTGTTTAACGTCATATCGCTATGAATGTCGGGTATTTATCCCAGACAGAAAGACTTACGGGAAGTATTCACGAAGGGCTCGAAATGTGTGCGAGGGCGCCCTCAAGAACTCGGCTATTGACAGATGGACAGCCCTAAAACCCTTTACGGACTTTGTGGAACGCGTTTTAAAGTCCACGAGCGTGGACGTTGGGAGGTGGTCCCCGAAAAAGTCAAAGCGCCAGATTATACATCTCCGTTACTTGCCTGCAAGTCTACGTTTGGGTCACAATAAACCCTCTTCTGTCACAGTCCGCATGCTCGAGCTGGTTCTTCACACACTCGTGTAGTGACCCAGGACCCACCGAGTCCTGAGGAACTACATTGACAAGATGGCAACCAAAGCGAAACGACCCAAGGTTACAATTTCATTCGAATTAACAGAAAACCGAACAGTGTGTACAGTGTGTCTGTGTAACGTTATGCACTACATTCGCTTCACTGTACAGTTAGTTAGCTTCACGTGTGAGTAGTTAGTTGCTCGTGGTACATACTGATGGTACATCTTCTGTAATGTTATGTGGTGTAAAGTTGGGCACCATCAAACGTTTCTATGTATTCCAGCTGTTGGTGCTATTCATTTCCTAATTACTCGTTCACTCACACCGAAGCTAACGGGCAGCGATGACTGTCAGTGTAAATGTAGTTTTACGGTGAAACCAAGTGCTCCACAGCACTAGATCCCACGTGCCATTTCATATTATTGATGTTTCTTTTTTTATATATCCATGCGCCGACAGGTCGATGATGGTTTAGAGATGAATCCGCTGCAGGACTTTCTACAGTGGTGCAACAGAGTCGGCTTGGTACTCAGCAATAAGGTGTGTAAATATGAATCAGTCTGTCAACCAGGCAGTCTATGTATTTTGTTGTCCCTGCCATTTTTTTTTTCATTGTTCAGTATTTGTAAAACGTTTCTGAAGACGGTGCACTTATTTGACTTAGCTGAGTTGATCCCAGTCTTCATAACCACATTGGCCATGATGCATCTCTCTGTAGGTGTATCTGAGCAAAGAGGGAACCGTGGCCGAGTACGGGATGCTGGCTGAGGACAACATAGAGGAGGGAGAGGTTTTATTCACCATCCCCAGATCGGCTCTTCTCCACCAGGAAACCACCGAGGTCTCCGTCGTGCTGAACAAAGGTGAGAGTTTTTAGTGACAAAGATGCTTTAGCGAGACCGAAGCCGCCTGCGCCGCCCGTCAGTTTGTAACCCAGCTTCTCCTTTTACCCGTCACAGAGAGCTCGTCTCTGGAGAGCTCGTCCGGCTGGGTTCCCCTGCTGCTGACTCTGCTGTATGAATACACATCTCCACAGTCCCATTGGAAACCCTACCTCTCGCTGTGGACCGACTTCAATACGCTGGACCACCCCATGTTCTGGTAAGAAACAGATTTAAGTCCGTGTCTAAACCCTATCCTGAATCAGTAAAACAAAAAGCTGTCCCATTGCCAACCACAGGAGCAGCTTTTTCTTCAATTCTCTGTTGATGAAGTGTGAATTTCTAGCTTTCTCTTCAGTAATCTGCAGTTCATTCCTTCAGGTCTAAAGAGGAGAGAGACGGACTGTTGAGGGGAACAGGTGTTCCCGATGCTGTGGACACAGACCTGGCTAACATTCAGAGGGAATACACAGACGTGGTTCTCCCCTTCATCGCCAAGCATCCCGACCTGTGGAACCCCGACACACACACACTGGAGCTGTACACAAAGCTGGTGGCCTTCGTCATGGCCTACAGGTTAGTGGGCATGAGACAAAATACACACACACACACTCAAAGTATATGGATCCTCGTTGCTCTAAATTCGTCCCCATCCTCCTCTCTGTAGTTTCCAAGAGCCACAGGAAGAGGAGGATAGTGAAGACGAGGACGAGGACGAAGAGGAGAAGGCCCTGAACCCACCGATGATGGTTCCCATGGCCGACATGCTTAACCATGTGTCCAATCACAATGCAAATCTGGAGTTTACACCGGTGAGGGGACCCCTCCGCTCCTAATAACGATGGAACTTTTCTTGTTTCAAAACATCTGGATTTACCTGAAGTATAGACTAACTGCGCACTAATTTCTCAGGGCAGTTTGAAGATGGTTTGCGTACGCCCCATCCGCAAAGGCGAGGAGGTGTTTAACACCTACGGGCAGATGGCCAACTGGCAGCTGCTGCACATGTACGGCTTCACGGAGCCTTACCGGAGCAACGGCAACGACACCGCCGACGTCCCCGTCGGCAACCTGTACAAGGTCGCAACGCAAGGTGACGACGGATTTGTTCGAAAGAGTCGACGAATTGGCGAGAAATACAACCCCGTTACTCTGTGCTTCCTCTCAACCCTCCTCTTCTCTTTGCAGGTGTTCAGTCCGATATGGACCGGCAGCTGGCGGAGGAGCAGCGGGAGGTGCTGTGTCGGATGATGCAAGAGAAAGGAGCCATCGTCTTTGGCAAACAGGGCTGCCTGACGGACGCGGAGCTCCATACTGTGCTCAAGGTGAGAGGGGAACCTGCAACAGTGCACGAAACCTGAAAAAAACAACACATAAGACCACTTTGTTGGGGATGAATATTTGAAACGCAGCTCTCGCTTTGTGTATTTTTAGGTGCTGTGCATGTCAAAGGAGGAGTTCTCAGAGTTCAAAGATAATGAAGGCTGGGAGGAAGATGAGGAGGACGAGATTTCCCTCGCCTTCTCTAACGAGGGTCTCCCCGGGTTAAAGGCTTCGTGGAAAAGGCTAATTCATGAAGCAGCCCGCATGACTGTGAGGTCCTATGGAGACATGGAGGAGGAGGAGGGTGGTGTGAAGAGCGACCAGGCGCTGATGGAGGACAAGGCGGCGTTTGAAGGACTGAGCAGCAGGAAGCAGCAGGCGCTGCAGGTCCGCTGTGGACAGAAGAGCATCCTGCACAGACTGATGGAGCTCACTGAGTCACGACTCCAGCTGCAGCAGTGAGGCACACCGCTGGAGGACTTTTTATTTTTTTGCTTATTTAAAAAAAAAAAAATGTATCTCAATGTTGAAACTGAAATATCTAAAATCGCTGTCAATAGTTTTTTTCCTGACGACAGATTTGATTTTCAACAGTCCTTGTTTTGCACTCCCGTTAATATACACCATCAGTGTTGATAAGCAAGATGTTGTCATCTGTTCATGCAATAGGGATCATTATGACTGCATCATTTGCAAAATAAATACGTTTCTATACTTTTCTAAATATGCAAATGTGATCTTGCTGTGAATCAGAAACCTGAGAATTAGATTTGTTTTTTAGCATATAGTAGAAATTGAGTCTTTGTGCAAATGTCAAAAGTGAACCAATGCAGGTGTCAGTAGCTCCACTTTGAACCTGTTTAGACTTTATAAGCAGTGGTGTAACGGACCACTGTCGGTCCGTGAATCGTACTGATCCCCCCTCACGATTCGGAACGCGTGTGATCATGTTACTATTCAGTAACATGATCAGGACATCAGCATTCATGCTTTTCTAATTTCCGATCTGATAATATTTCATTATAAACAACCACTCCATGTTTAAATTGACGAGAACAGAGTTCAGTGACATTAAAATGACGTGTTCACATATCTCATAAAATGTAGTTTTGGTGAGGAACTTGAATAAATCCAGTTTGAAGATGTATCTGCTACAACAGATATTATAGAGGGAATTATGAGCCATTTAACTTCCTAATACTGGCTCTAAACAGATAATACATCATTCAAGCTACTATTGACAAGATTTTTTTTTTCCCCCCATCTATAAAAAAATCTTTTATTTCCTTATTTGAAGAAAAAAAAACTATAAATGACTAACAAACTAAAAGGATCCCTTCTAGAACTGTTATGATTTACACTGACTTGAGTGGATAAAATAATTTTTGGGAAGGTGGCAGAAAAAAATAGTCTGGAGCCTTGTAGACCAGCTGCTGTAATCAATCAATAGCATCTGTATCTGCCAATACAGATCAATGATTGGCAGCAAAATAATCAGGGATCTATAAAAGTTGTTTGCTCCTTTTTATCTTCTGTGATCCGTGAGTTTTCTGACCCGTTGCACCATTATTTATAAGTCATTCATAGTTAAATGCGCAACATTTTGTCATCTCGAATCCTTTGTAGACACAGCAGACCACTCGGTCCTCTGGACGTACACAACAGAGCATTTCACTTTTTCTAAATGAAATGTAAACGAACAGAAACAGTTTCAAAAGTAGGTCTACACATTTTGATTGTGATGCTGAAAAACGTTTAAACCTTGCTTAGAACTTAAAGGAATATATATATATATATATGTACACACTTTTGAAACAGCTGGCAATCAACACCATCACATAACTCCTGTAGTCCTGAATGAACACAGATGCCTTGCAGTTTGAATGCTTTATTTCCTGTATGTACGCATTCTGCAGTTAAGTAGCAAGAACTAAAGGCAAACTAGAAAGGACTACAAAATACAACACATGGACCAATACATTTACAAAACATTCAAAATGTTACAAAATGGGCTGTATTGGTCCTTCTATTGTTGTTCTTCAATTTGGATCTTTGTACAAATCGTCAAGATACAATGTCGCCATCACTTTGCACAATTTACAAGTGCCAGGGAGAGACTTCGAGCCGGTTTACCGTGGACGAACCATCAGCAAACCGTCTCCACCGACACACCCGGAGTCGACCCCACCCCACCTGGGAGACTAAACTTCATCTTCCTGTCCCACTCAGGGATAAAAAGGAATCAAATGAAAGTAGCAGGCAGCTTCTTTTTTTTTTTCTTCAATCATCTACCATTCAGCCTCTGAAAGCAACAAAAAAAAGTCAGGAAAAAAGGTTTGTGTGGGAGGGAAGCAAACCAAGGACTTTGGTAGTGAGTGAAAATATGTTTTCATGTCTTTTACATGTCAGGATACATTTTATTCGACATGTGCATTGCTCTCCACACATCTACTCGCCCGTTCTCCCTTTTTTTCAATATTTACATCAAAGCAACAACAAAAAAAAAAAAAAAAAAAAAAAAAAAAAAAAAAAAGTATATTAAACAGCATGTCCCAATCCATTCTCTCCATCTCAATTCAGCCCCAGAGGGATAAACAAAAATCTAACTCCTTAGATCCGTGAGCAGTAGTCATTTCATCCACATTTCAAATGACTGTGGTTGCCAGTTTATCCAGTGCCGACAGTTGAGGGTGTGGTGGTGGTGGGGGAGTGAGTCAAGGCCGCGGCGTCTTCTCCCGAGGGCTACGAGCTGGCTGGTGCACCGGCTAGCTGGCACCGGTGCCCTCCATCACCTGCTGGGCCTGCTTCTGTCCCATGCAGCACTGGGCCACTGACTGGAACAGCCTGAGTGGAGAGAACATGACCATCTGTTAGAGAGCAGCAGAGCTGGGGACGGTCGGGCGGACATTACCGTGTCATCAAAACCCTCCCTAAGACAGCAACAATGAATGCATTCTGCAGTCATCACACGCCAATATGAACCTACTTCTCGATCTCGGGAGCACAGTGCACGAAGTCGTGGCTCCAGAACTTGAAGGCAGGATTCTTGATCAGCTCGATGAAGGTGATGAGGAGACCCCATGGGTGGGGCCTGTTCACTATCAGCCTCTCCAACAGAACCCTGGAAGAGACGGAGAAAGCTTGAACCGACGGCACTTAGTCAAAACTTCCGCTCGGGGACGGTTCGATGTTTTTTTCCCCTGCAGGATCAATGAGGTCACTCAGACTCGAGTCTTACCTGGTGATCTGCTCTTGGATGGCCTCGGTGTTGGCCTCGGCGAACAGGTAGAGCATGGTGCAGCTGAAGTAGTGAGTGTGGCTGTTCGGGTAGCGCAGCTGGTTGGCGATCGCGTTCAAGAACAGGTAACGCCCTGGAAACACATGACGGCAGAAACCTGAGTGCTTTGCTTTTGTTAAGCACACATGTTGAATATCTAAATATAACGTAAACTTTCCCAAAAGCTGCTTTTAAAATTAGCTCTTAAGTTAGCACTTTCAGTAGAACGTTTTTGTAGCAGTGACCGACAGAAAGCTGATGCGGTTCGTGGTTCTCACCCTCGGTGTCCAGGTCCACGGCCAGGTTCTGGAAGATGTCCATGTGTGCAGAGTGGGTGATCGTGCTCATGGAGGGGGTGCTGCCCTTGTTGTGGATGTGAGCAATTGCCTGTGTGCCTACGTACAACACTAGAGCATTGATCAGCTGGATGTTGTAGCGGTTTCCTGGCTCGTTAGACACCTGGGAGACAAAGATTACAAATTCATGCCAAAAAAAAAAAAAAAAAAAAAAAAAAAAAAGCGCTTTGTTGAAGTCTAATACTAATCATTTAAAATAAAGGCTGAGACCGCTCCTACCTGCAGGTTGCTGCGCAGCTCAGACAAGAAGGTGACTGGTGAACGAGTCTTCAGATATGAGTCCAGGTCCTTCTTGAACTGGGAAGGCATCACGCCTGTGAAGTTGGTGAGGATACGGGGCGCGATGTTGATCTCACTCAGCATGTCCACCTGCAGCCGGGGCGTTAATAAAACACGGGCTCATGAGATCAGTCTAAACAAAGCTGAAAAGCTCATCGGTTCTGCTGATCTGATCTGAGCTTTGAAACATGAATGTATAATCAGCTGTACCTTGAGATTGGGAGTGAAAGGATCAGGGAGCCTCATATTGCGTGGAAAGGCACTGAGGATGAGGTTGCGGAGCTGAATGCAGTTGGGTGGGATAACATCACAGAAGCCGTAATGGTAGTCACACAGGAACTCTGGGAAGTCATGCAGCAGGACCAAGAGCACCCGCAGCGTGCCCTGAAACGGAAAAGAATCAACAGATGTCAGAGGGAGCACAGAGGTTCTGTAATCCAACATTAGCACATTAACAAAAACAATAACAGTCAATACTCGTTACTAAATTAAATTCGAAAAACGAGAGAGCACCTTGTAGAGGATTTGCATAGGTTTGTTGAGCTCTACATTCCTCAGGAATGGGGCCAGGTACTTGAAGAGATCAATCAGCAGCTGTGCGTACATGGGCCAACCCTGAGAGAAAACATCAGTCTATTAGACCAACAATTCAAAAAGCACACATACGGGGAAAGCGGTGACATTTACGCATCAACAAGACGAAATGTGAGGTAGTTAAAGAGTGCGTTATCTTTCAGTTATCTTATTCTTGCATACCTTCTGCTGCGGAGTGTGCGCTAGCATCCTGGCGATGAAGATGCGATGGGAGATGAGTTCCAGCCAGGCGTACACAAAGCCGGGCGCTTTGGTGGGTCTCAGGATGTGGAAGGTATTGCTGCACATGAAAAGGGGAAAAAAAGTGAGTCAAAGTGCAGCAATCACATATGGACAGAAACGTTTAAAACATTCAGTATCGGCACCAGGCGAGCCTTTTTCTGGCTGGAGGTGGCTGTCCTACCAGAAGGCGGTGAGCGTCTGAAAGTTGATGGTCTCCAGAACATGTTCGGGAGCGTTGAGCTCCAACAGCAGCATGATGAAGATGCGGTGGTAGGGCAGCTGCTGGAATTCTGTCTGACGGACATCATGGTCCTGAATCAGCACCCCCACTACGATACCCAGCACCTGTAACAACAATGTGGGGCACAATCAGAGTGGGCGCCAGCAGTATCTACAGAGGAGATGAGCATGTACATTGTCGTGGACGTTGATGATGTAATTTCCCTTTTGATTATTAAATCAGGCTTTCCAGAAGGATTCTGAGATACTCAGAGTGGTTCTTCAAACTGGTGTTTTAACTAAATAGTTGAATTAAATGATTTAACCTTTCAAATCTTTGTCACCCTCCTATTCCAGAATAAACCTCGTCACACACCTGGTGGACTGTAGAGATTAGAATTGAGTTAAAAAAGCCTGCGAAATTTCACAGCAGTTCCACTTCTACATTTGAGCCGACACAGACATCCCTTAAGTGTTTCATTGGCACAAGCAAATATTCTAAGACGTGCCGTAATAGTTTCTACTTTGAACTCTACACAGATGTACACAGTACCTTGTTGAGGAGGTTGACTTTTGTCACCGTGTTGGTGGCCTCTCCAGAGTGTTTGACCAGCAGCGCTATGAGCCTAACGAAGGCATCCAGGTTGTGGTAACACTTGGCTCTGATGATGGCTGCGCTGGCTGCTGGGTTGTGCTGCTGCTCGGCCTGAGCCCGATAGCTTATCTCCACGCACATTTCTGTGCACAGCCGGAAGAACCTCGTGATCAGGTCATCCGTCTTCAGGATGCCCTGCTGGTGCATCTGGAAGGAAAAAGAAACATAAGAAAATCTAAACGATGCGCAAGGGTCCTTGTGCGGTTGACTTTAAACGGATGAAAGAGTGTTTACCTGGCCGACAAAGGCAGAGAAAGCTTTGGTGCTATCCCTGCCGGCAGCAGCCGAGTGGTACAGGTTGACCCACTCCCTCAGGAGATACTCGGCCTTCTCCCTCAGGCCTGGAGGGTCGTCATATTCTGACGCCTGCGAAATCCCAGAGTGCATCATGAAGTTGGGTCCTCCGTGGGCCCGGTCAATCATGGCCTCATAGTTGGAGCGAACAACATCCATCAGCTGGGGAAGGCTGGGGAGGACGACAGAGAGTCAGTTTTACCGCCTCTCACATATGATTTGACTCAGCAAAAACTTAAAATGGCCTTTTCGATCTTCAACATTGCAATCGTTTACCCCTCCGGTGCGTTGGCTCTGGAGTGTGCACAGGTTCTCATCAGAGTCTCGATTGTGTGGAAGAGATCGGCCTCTGTGACATGGCTGACGCTGCGTTCATCCACCAGCAGCAGCTTCACCAGCTGCATGGCAAAAGCGACTGCCATGTAGTGCAGTCCGTTCTCCATCGACTAGAAGAAAACAAAAAAAAAAAAATCAACGTTGGCTCGTCATGGCACTTGAAATGTCTCTTAGCCAGACGACTGATGCACAGACCTGTTGATCAAGGTGCACAACAACATACAGGGCTTTGCACCTCCAAAAAAAGAACAAAACTTGACTCCACGACAAAGTCATACGTAGATTTTTAGGATTGCATAATTAATTTACATCTAACCAAAACATAAGATAAAGATAAAATATCAAATGACTCCAGGAGTGAAGTGTACCTGTGCAAGGTGCAGGTCATACTGCTGCATGTTGACCAGATGGTTCCTGATCAGAAGCTCCACTGCCTCTACGTTGTATTTGTACTCATCACGACATTCAATCAGACACCTGCAACCAATCACAGCGAAACACACCGAGCAGAACTATTAAATATGCTTTATATATTTAACTGCCTTATGTTCAACATCCCTCAAAGCAAATAAACTGTTCAGAATTACAATCTCTACCCCTCGGCTTAACATGAGTTTGTATGATTCAAATCAGTGACAGAATATGTCCCGACTCACCTGGTTATCTGCTTATTGCACCACTGTGGTCCATAGGCACGTCCATCCTGAAGGGCTTTGAGCACCAGCAGGTGGCATTCCCTGTAGCGGAGCAGCAAGTCGGCATCAGCACCACTAGTAGCATCCAGAAGACCTTCCACAGCCTGGGAAACAGAAAAGCAAACACAGTAAAACACAGGTCGGCGTAGATTACGTCTCCCTCGCACCGTTCCTGAAGACTAGACCTCAGCCGTAACAGTAACCGCCCTAACCTTCTGCAGAAGGCCAAGTGCGGCGATGCCGTCCCTGGAGTTCCTCGCCAAGGCCACGGCTTCCAGCAGGCTGCGCAGAGCCTGGGTCAAGGGGTTCATGGCCAGGGCTGGAGGGATGGCGTGAAGGTGTTGCTCCAAGTCTGCCATGCACTTATCGTAGATCTGAGCCACGTCATCTGTGGCCCATGCCTGCTGCTGTTGAGATGAGATACAGAGAAACGGAGTCAAGTTCTGTGGGTTTATCATGTCCTCATATTAACACAAGAGGCACTGTTGTTATTTTTATATAAAAAAAAAAAAAAAAAAAAAAAAAAAAAAAAAAAAAAAACTGTAGCAACTTTCAACATTCGCTTTTCAGCTCTCACGTTCTGTTTTAAAGAACTCACCTTCATGGGCTGAGCCAAGAAGCCAGTGGGTTGGGAGAGATCATTGCTGGGTAAGAAACCTGGAACGTTCCTGGCAAACTCCTCATACACAGCAAGTTGCTTCGGGTCCACTCCTCCGACCTACAACACAACAAGTTCTCTGTTATTTCACACTGTGCGGTCCATCTACAGATCAACAGAATCATGATCCTTTTGGACATGTTGGACAGATCCAGAATCTGATGCAACAGTATATCGTGTTTGGATTTATTGCATTACTGGATGCTACAGTGGACTTACCTTGAGCCTGATCTGCTCAGGCATACGTTCAGCCTGGTAAGTCAGGACAACCGGATCACAATAGCGACGTCCCTCTTGGCGGGCGTGCTTCCTCAGCTCAAACTCCTGAAAGAGTTAAGTTATGAAAAACCCAATCAAGGAATTGGACACTTTTGCTTTACGGAAAACACAAAAGATGTGAACGAAACTCCAACAAGCCCCTATCCCTAGCCCGCATCCTAGCAGAGCAGCATGAGTCTAAAATAAAAGGTATACCAGTCTGGCCACAGTTCATGTATTGGAAATACATTTATTTTCAGGGCTGTGGAGTCTCACCGTGGCTAGTCTCTTGTCCATCTCAGGGCCAGCCTTCTCCACCGCTGTTTTCTGAATGAAGCAACAAGCCAGTTCACAGTTGTCTTGAGCAATCCTGGCTGCAGCCTCTTCCATCATCTCCCTCTGTTGGGGTGTTGGTGCCTGAGGGAATAAACACCTCAAGTTAAAGCAGCAGGAAGAGTACAAGGGGAAAGGTAAGACAGCATTTAGTCTCTTCATATCTTATGGAACACAAGCGATAAAGGAGCCCTCGGGTTTCATTCAGCTTACCCTCAGTGCAGCAGCAAAGCTGTTCTTAAGGTTGGTGGCGATGCTCATGAGCAAGGGCTCGCGGCAGGTAATCATGGCCATGCCAGCGGTCAGGTTTCTCATCATGTGGTGGGCAGCCACACGCATGCGGGACTCCTCCGAATCCAGGGCAAAGTCCTTCCTGATGATCTGCTCACAGGTTGTCATGGCGATTTTGATAGAGCGGTCCACCACAGGGTGCACCAGCTCCTGAACAGCTCGCTCTACCGACTGCCGAACGCACTGCTTCAACTGGGGATGGGCCTGCAGCAGCGGGATCTAGAGACAAGGAGGGGGAGGCAGGACAGAAAAGTCAAACAAAGACAGAACAATCGAAAACAAAGTGTGTGTGTGCATCGCATGTGCCTCAAGTGTGACGACGGCTTCTCCATCAGTGGGTTGCAGGTACTCAACACTTACGTTGACATTTATATTGATGTGTGGAGCCAGGCCTGCCAAGGCATACACGTTGATGTCGTGGTAACTGAACTGGGGGGTCGGGGGCCCGGTGGTTGTGCAAGCGGTGGTGGTGGCAGCAGGGGTTGAGGGAGGGGCTGCAAACGGAACAAAGTCTCCTGTTGGTGACAAAACAAACATTTGATTAAAATCAAATAAGACAGCTGATTATTTAGACAACAAACAGCAAGCACACACACAGGCAACAAAAACAAGCAGTACTGAGCTTTTTAGCATGACCTTTTAAAAATAGATTTCAAGTAGTAAAGACAGACCTGACAACAGGAATAGGTGATATGACAAAGAAATCAAAGAAAACAGGGCAAAGTTCTAAGTAAATATGGAGCATCCACCCGTGCTGACAACTGGCAGCATCTCCTCTGGAGGCTTTGCCTCCTTCTTTGGTGCAGACAGCTGCTCCTCCAGGCTCTGAAGCTTCTCTTTGTCCTTCAGCAAGGTCCCCGGCTTGAGGTCATTGATGTCCAAAGACAAGTTCTTACACAGAACTTCAATCTCAAACTTTAGGTTGAGCTGCAGAAAACAAGAGAAAACCACGTGAGACACAATCACAATTGTTCAGTTTCAAAAGATGCATTTGCAGTCACTGGTGAAAACTGTCTATTTGTGTGATGGCTGGGATGTAGCTGGGTAATGGTTAGCAAGCAGACATTCGGTTTTGTAACATGATCATTTCATATCTGGTACTAGAACAAATCTTTTGAACTATGATTTAGATGGACTACATTCCAAAGAGCTGCCTGGAGTTGAGCACAGGAAGAATGATGTTTTACCTTGAGGTCATGTTCTTGATGCAGCTCAGCGAGAACATTCATGATGGCCATGGTCCAGGGGTTCTGGGGCCTGAAGACCTACAACATCAGAGACGCACACATTAGTGAATCCACAGAACCTCAAACAGTGGAATCAGGTAAGCATAAGCCAATTACACGGACTGTGTGTGTAAAAGTTACTTTTAACCGAAGTAAATATGCCAGCATGACATACTTGGTCAGTGGTTTGAGGTCATAAATTGCATGGAGACGCCTCTCAGTCTGAACCTATTTTACTAACCATGCTTCGTAGACTGGACTCCAAAACTTTGGCCACAAAGGGAACTACATACAGTAGCTCCTGCTGGCCTTTCATGTAGGCTTCCAGTAGCAGAGACTTGACTTCCAGGTCCTGGAAAAGGAGAAAAAAAATATGTCAGCCAACTCGAAAGCAGACAGATCCACCAGGTAATGAAACAACACACCAAAAAGTAATATTACAAACACTTACCGTGTAGAGGATAGGCTTGTTTTTGGCCAGTGTAATCATGCCCAACCAGTGGCCCAGGTTCTTCAGCAGGGAGCGATCAGAGAAGTTGGCAGCTGCCTTGTCAGAGGTCAACAGAACCTGAAGACATTTAAAGAAATTCAGGGATGGGAGTGTCAGTATTTAGCATTTTTTTCAGCTTTCTTCAGTGTTGCTGGGACTTCAGAAGTCAATATCATAGTTATAGTAGAGAGTAAATAAGAAAAAGAACAAGAAATGTCTGCTTCTGAAGACATTGAAGCCCTCAAGTGACCATCTTCTCATCACCTTGATATTCCTGTAAGTCTCATTGAGGACCATCTTCACAAACTCAGGGTTCTTGAGCGTGTCCAGGAAGTTGGAGTAAAGACCGTGAAAGTTGGGCTCAATGCTGACACGCTTCATCACCAGGTACTGAGACACCCAGGGCATGAACTCATCCTTCACAGTCTCTTTCAACTCCTCAACCTGAAAGAAAAGCGGAAATGGATTACATTTCTTCTTGTTTTTTAAAGCTTCTTCTACTGATAAAGTTGTTGAGGTAGTATTGTTGTGTCTGTTGTCACTCTACCTTCTGTGTCATGTTGGACTGGGAAAGGTTGTTGAAGATGAAAGCGATCTTCTCCTGGACATTTTCTGGAGGCTCTACAATCCTTTCTGTTTGGTCAGTGGCCACCAGCAGGGTGTCAATGTTGGTTGTGTTTATGGAGGGCTGCAAGAAGGAACAAAAATAAAATCGTATCAAAGTTTCACAAAAAAAAAAAAAAAAAAAAAAAAAAAAAAAAGGGCACATAATCGGGTGTATAGACATTAGCAAAGCCAAACTCACAGGCACATCCTTCTTGAAGGTGCTGGGTGTTGGTCTTGTGATGGTAGGCGTCTTGGCCACCGTGGTCGTTGTCGTCGTGGTGGTGACTAGAGTGCTTGGCTGACCTGGCTGTGGGGCCTTGGGGACACCAGGTTGCTGCGACTGGGCCTGGACTTGTGCCAGTGCCAGACTGCCAGGGGTGGTGATGGAGCCTTGCATCTTCACCGGAGGGTCCCGTGACTGTTGGCCATACTCGATATACTGCACACACAGGATATTGAAAGAAGCAGAGCGCGATTTTATTTGTCTATATGTATGAATCCTCTCCGCGGGTCATGGTTAAGACAAACTAAGACTTAAAAATGCTCATTTAAATTAAGGAAACCTGATTACCTCTTGTAAATGGTGGGGGAATTGCAAGAAGTGGGCAATCGAAGCCAGGTGTTGACAATACTGAGGATAGTCCTTTAGTCTAGAATCATGAAAAAAAAGTTGTTATTCGGAGACAAACGGGACATTAATACTCATTTTACAGAAGAATACATTTCAGTACCTGTTTTTAAACCTATCTAGGGCAGCAATTCCAAAGTAATACATTTTGGATCCATAGGGTTTTCTTAAGGCTTCCAGAACATATCGGAGGGCCAAGCCCAGGGCCATGTAGGTGACGAGACCCTTCTCGATAATGCCACCAAAGAGGCAGGCCGTGATGTGCAGCTCCTTGTCTGGGTATTGGGGGAAGAATCGGTATTCCTCAAACAAGTTGCGCAGCATGCAATTGAACACCTCGCGCTCCCGCTTGATGGTCGAATCCTTGAACCTCTGCAGCATCTCCAGCACCTAGGAGGAGAACAATGATGTAGTGGGAGTTAACAGTACTCACTGGTGGGTTTGATTTGAGTTAGTGTTCTTGGCACAGACAAATGAAGAATATCACTACGTACTTCATCCACAGACATGGTGGGGTGAGGTGGGTGGTTGTAGATGCGTTGGAAGTAACTGTTTGCCTCATCATCTATCTCCTTACTAAAGTGCTGGTTTGCCTCGGGCCACACCTGAGAAAGGTCAGCTGAGGAAAAAAGAAATTCAATTAAAAACAAAAACTTAACCAAGACCAAGTAATTTGCTTCAACGTGGTAATCCAAGTCATTGACTCATTAGTTAACATTGAGCAGTCAAGTGATGCATCAAGAGTGTGTTTTAACAGATGAAGGTTAGACCTCTTTTTGATGCTTGAAAGCGTTAAAGTGGGGCTGTCGGCATAAGCAGACACGGAATGGAAGACTGATCTGCATTTCCTCTGTGATTAACCAATTTAGTTTGAAAGTGAAATCATACACACAAATGTTTACAATATGCCATGAGTCTTTTACAATCTCTTGGTAAATACTTCTGAAACTTGTATTGTAAACTGTAAGTGTGAGTAGAGATGCACGGACTGCAATATTTTTGGCCGCCAAAAGGCTGACCTGCCAAATCCCATTTTGCCAATTTTGATTTTCTTTCTCAGAACTATAATTGACAGCAAGGCTCAAGACTAAATGTTCACCACTGTCCCGAAAGAATGATTTCCACTGTCCCAAAATCTTAGTGTTGTCAATAAAACACACCATTCAAATGATTTAAATACTTGCACCGTGGCATTAGTGGTTTTAATGATGTATTTTAAGCTAGTGTTCCCTCTCTCGTATTTATTTCATACTGCTGTGAAACATCTCCTTCAAACAAGAGTTTATTCAAGTTTCTCATCCAAAACTAGATTTTTCTTTGAAAACATAACAGCATTATAATATACTTTTGTCTAATAGTCTATTTACGGAGTAGGTTGAATGCATCAAAAGGAGAGTCAATGCATTATTGTTAGCTGATATTTCCGTTGTAAGCAGGACTGTGCTAGAAAGACTGTGCTCTCAGCAGATGAGTCAGTTACTGAGATTTCTCTGAGCAGCATTCATGAGAATTAATTAAAATATAATAAGCGTCTGATTAAGTTATTCGTTCCTCTACGACTTAGTTGTGATAAACTGCAAGCTTTATGTCTCCATAATTAACAAACCGACGTCGTGTGTGTGAGTGGTTGTGACGTTACCGTCTGTGCTGCTGTTTGTCGATATTAAACTATCACGAGGTACACGCGTGCAAATGTGACCACCATAAAAACGGAAATATGAAACCGATCAGCACGTCACCGATCGGATTTTGATCGGCAGCCGATTAATCAACGCATCTCTATTTGTGAGGCACATTAAGGTGCATTAGAACTAAATTAGCAAATTAAGAATCATAATCACTGCAGAGGAAACAGTAGTGAGCAGCACAGAGCACCACCTCCACCAGTTACAGGCCTTCATCTTACTCTGTTGAAAGGTGGGTGGGTTCAGGCCTGGTGTGCTCATCTTCCTGGTGCCAAAGGGGTCCGTGTTGACAGTTGGCATCCCCAGACTAGAGCCGATGCCAGAGCCGATGCCAGAGCCGATGCCAGAGCCGATGCCAGAGCCGATACCAGAGCCGATGCCAGAGCCAATACCAGAGCCAATACCAGAGCCAATACCAGAGCCAATACCAGAGCCAATACCAGAGCCAATACCAGAGCCAATACCAGAGCCAATACCAGAGCCAATACCAGAGCCGATGCCTGTGCCCAAGGGACCTGAGGGTAAAGTAAAAACACTTAGCGACAGTGTAACTGCAACAATTTGGACCCGTCTCATTTCTCAATGAATAACAAAGACGAGACTAAACTATGATGCAATATGACGTGTTGATTTAGTGTGAACATAGGGCTTGGTTGTTTGTGTTAAAGTGAAAAAATAAAATAGCATAGTACCAGAGTCCATACCAGGGAGCTGCGAGGAGAGGCTGCCAATGCCCCCAAACGGTGTGCTGGGGTTTGGGTTGGTGAGTGGTGGGAAGGCCTTTGCTGGGGACTGAGGGTTACTGAAAGCTGAACTCAGTGAGGTTGGGAAACCCTGCATGCTTTGAGTGTGGGAGGGAGCTGTGCCCCCCAGGTTCAAGGAACCCATGCCGGACAGGGAGTCCATCTAGAGAGACAAGAAAGAGAATAACAATAATTCATTTTGAGTGTCCTTTTTTAGCAATTTAGGAATACGGGGCGGTTTTGAAAACAATACAAAGTTTGTCTGCAGAGGCATGATGTGCCTATCATGTGAAGATACCTGTACAGGAGAGATGGCATCCAGGCTGCTGGTGCTGGGGGCACGTCCCTTTGGCATTACCCCTGGTGGTGGTTGTCGGGCTTTATTCATTACATTGCTGCAGTTGGCAACCATGGTCAGGATCGTCTCTGACAGCTCCTGGGAGACGTTGCTGAGGAAACAAAAGTGAAGGAGCTCTGATGTTAGATAACACCAGATAGTGCCATAAACTACATGTGCACATCTTAAGTCTTATGTGGTCAAAACACCATGAAATGCGACTAAAGCTGGGCCAATTTTGACCTTTTTATTGTCTAATGTTGTCAGTCTTGCTTAAACCGGTTTTTAAAAAGACCAACCAATAGTACAGTGATGGGACTAAGCCACATAGCATCTTACCCAGCACAGGACTGCAGGCAGGCCAGCATGGTGGCTAAGGTCTCCGGGGGCAGCTGGGCGCTTTTGGGCTGGTCCTTGTCTGGGGCCAGACCCCCCATGATGGATGGGCAGCGCCTCTTCAGGAATGTCACACACGCCTGGATGAAAGGCTCCTGACAAAACACAGAATGATTGTAAAATACAATGTTCTCAAATTACAATGACAAACAAAAACACCAACAATCTTGATTTATTTTTTTTAGTGTATGTACATCAATTGGAAGACTTACCCCGTGCTCTCTGATTTTGTCAGTCAGCCATTTATCAAGTTTGAGGTATTCACGGCGAGAGGCAAGTGCAGCGAGGTCAATAACAAAAGCAAATGGAGTTCCATTCAGCAACATCGATAGAGACTGCAGGGGGGAAAAACACAGTGGCTCATTGACCATGATAATCATACCTACATATAGGATAAAGCAGAGACCACCACAGGATACGTGACCCTTTATCCTCCAATTTGTTGACTAAAACACATGGAAGAACATTATTTAATGCAACAGTCAACTGTGCAACCACGCTGTTTCCTAATTATTCTGCTTTAGTCTGAAGGTTTTAGGTTCAGAGAAGTCACCAAGTGTGATTATTCCGTCTATTCCGACAAACCTTCAAGTCCTGGGCCACATCGAGGATGCGAGACAGCTTGGCCTGGTCATACTGCTCCCCTCTCATGTACCACTCGGCCATTGAATGCATTATCAGCTGACGGATGGAGGGAGACTGTCCCTGGAAAAATAACCGCCAGGTATTATAAGTACACAAAAAAAAAAAAAAAAAAAAAAAAAAAAAAAAACACAGGACAAAAACATGACTTCAAATCAACAAGCATTAACACCAACCTGTCCATGCCAGGCGTAGTGCAGGATGATGGCAGAGTTCGGGTGGTTACCCAGAAAGATGGGCATTAGGGTAGAGATGAGCTCATGGCGCAGTGTGTGCCAGGAGGTGGAGATCTGCAGCAATGCCAGCACCAACATGTCTGGACAGTGCTTGATTGGGAAGCTGAACAGCTGCTTCACCTGCTCATACTGTCCCACCTCAGATAGCCGAAGCAAACTCTCCACCAGGTCCAGACTTTTCCTGTTATGAGTTGAGGGCAGTCAGTCAAACACACTGTAGCTTCATAACAGCATCAGCCCCGCAACTCCTTCAATTAATCAACAACTGAACCATATTCAGTGGGTCAAACTACACCTCTGAGCATAGAACAGGGTTTTCTACAGTGTATTATAGCGATCAGCTAGAGATAATACAAGTCACCATTCTTAAACAGATTATCACAGGATATATTGATATATTGGATGCACTAGGTGAAGCATTAATTGAACTGACATTCAGGAGAGGAGCAAAACAAATATCCATTTTAAAGCCAGAATACCACAAAACTAATAAACCCAATAAGTAGAAATAAAGCAACAGCAACACCCTTCTACATAGCAACAAGCTCCATACCAGGTGGCAATCTCCCTGTTGTCATCCTCAGGTGGAGCCTTAAGGATGTCAATGGCCACAGTGTGGCAAGGGTAGTCTGCAAAGGAGAACACTTCTGGGCCCATCAGGGAGTGCTGAATGAACGACAGCTGAAAAAACAAAACAAAGCAATCAAGACAAATAAAGAGGAGATACAAGGCTCAACCATAACTACAATTAAAACACATGGAATCAAATCATCGTGATGCAGACGTTGTTGGCCAGTCACCTGTCCTTCAGCGTGTTTCCATGGCCGATAGATGAGATCGACGGGAAAGACCTCCATGCCCAAACCCCTCTGAATGCCATACACGACGATGTGCAGGCCTTTGCTGTCCCGGATTATAAAGCCCGCATGGTCCAGCTCGTACGTCACCTCTTTGAAGTTCAGGTTGGGATTCTAGGGCATAGACAGAAATCCACAATTGAAAGCTTCGTGGGCTTTTCAAAGGAATCTGGTACAGAAATAAAACCTGTAACCTTCAGTGTCAGATTTATAACAGGCTAGCGCATGTATTAACGTGTGTACTGATGCAGAATTTGACTAAATGTAGTTCCAGAGTGACACTATAAAATGCTGGACTCTGTAATAATCTGGGAATTATCAAGGCTTTGTGAAAAGAATGAACTGAAAAGATGATCAGACTCGTGGCTGTTTAAATGTAACATGAAGGTGAAATTGATGGAAAATGCTGAAGTTGAGTTGACGTGCAAATTTGGTTGCAACTGCACATTGCAATCATTCTCGCCACTCAAAACGGTTTAGATTTTAGGGAAGTGTCGTCAGTGGCAGTTTGTGGAAAATAAAAAGATAATATATAATTGGCTGTACATTTTCCTAATAGAACAATTGAGAAACTGATGGCTCACTTACCACTTCTTTCACGACGTCGATGAGAACCTCGACATTCCACGTGTGAGCCTGCGAGCCGTCGTTCTTGTCCTTACCGTCGCTCCAGATCCCACTTCCTGGAGCAGAGATGGACTGTGGGAGGAAAATACTGAAAATGTAAGCTCTGGTGTGCTGAAAGGCTAAGAATCCCAAAACAAGTACACTAAATTACCACTCATCTTTATTGGACATATTGAATCAAATGACTATGAAAATGAAAACACGAGTGACTCATATTACACAGGTATAATTAACCAATTATCCTGCCCTACAGAGCTTTAGTTTTTCTATTGTTGAGAGATTGTAGAAAAATATGAAAGCATAAAAGTATAACCATCACAACATATAGCTTGTTTGCTTTTTATAACCATCACAACATATAAACTTTTATTTCATGATAGAAACACATAGCCTGCTTAGACACTTTATATAACAGTCACTTCAGCCTTATATACTGCTTCTGGTTCTAACAGGACCAAACCAGTTATATTCTGTTGCTAACTCTGGTACAGGATGTCTCCTGTATGTGATTAGGGGAGGTTCTAGCCTCAGAGTAGCATAAAATCAGCAGTGAAACTGAGAGCAGAGGCTTCACCCTTAGGGGTGACTAGAGGCTTCACCCTCAGGGGTGACTAGGGGCTTCACCCTTCGGGGTGACTAGAGTCCCTTCTGGGGCTTCCACCCCCCCATCTCTAGAGACAGGGATAGACTCCTTTAATAGACCCTTAGGGGTCTTACCCCCTCAGAGGTGGGGAAAAGAAGACCCTTCTGCTGTCTTACCCACTCAGAGGTGGAATAGAAGACCCTTTGTGCGTTATCAGAAGACAGCATGAAAAAAAAAAAGAAAAACTCACAGCGAGAGCTGACAGAGCCTGTTAAGAGTGGGATTGTTAGCATTAGTAGCACTGAGACTGTTTCATCGAATTGAAATTGTTCTATGTGATTGCTTTGGAAAAACTTTAATAAAACAGCCTTACCATTTGTAAGTGACTGGATCCAAACTAGAGACTGTTTTTTTAAGAACAATTTGACCCTCTTCCCCTGTCCGTTAACCGTGTGATACAGAAGTGACAACTGACTCTACCAGAGCAACTTAAAGGTGAGTACACTGGGTGAAGACTTGGCAGCGTTAGTCATAAAATGGTGAGAAGTTCACAATAGGCAATAGTAAAGTACAGACAGTCTACATAACTATTCATACTGGGTGTTAGGGTTACATCCTACTGAGCGCCTAGGGCGTAGCCGTACAAGACTCTCAGAAAGACAATAATTCCGAAAATCCTAACGATTTAGCTACGGGGTGAGATAAAAGGCCTACAGTATTGTTCTGACGCCTCCGTGAGGAAACGAACCCACGCAGGTCGGACAGCCGTTAGGAGTGACCACCCTGTTAGGTGTGTAAGCTTGTCCCGCTTTCCCCGGGGCAGGATCCGTTCACGCTACACTGTTTAAGTCAATGTGACGTTTGCTGTATGTTTCACATAAAGCTATTCCCAACCAAAGGGCTCTGATTAACCCACTGTCACTACCTGCCCAGTAGATCCAGGTAGCATAAAAATCAATCAAAGACAATTCAAATTCACCCTCCTCCTTTTGTAATGTCTGGATATTTTCTGTGAAAGTAAGTAAAACCCAGACTAGGCAAACCTAGTTTCAACACTTCACATGTACACCTATCGGTTTGTGTGTGTGAACAGAAATGGACTGCAACCCAATTGCAATAGCGTGTCGTCTTCTCCTTCGGTCCATATCGAGTAAACTACAGTGAAGTAGTCAAGTGACCTTAGACTTCGGGCCGCCCTTGCGTCACAAAGCACCTCACCTGTAGCGGGATGCCATCGGTTAGGCCAGAGTGGGTGCGAGCCATCATGCCCAGGACCCTGGCTACCTGGCTGGCGGTCACCTCTCTCACCCCATACTGGAGGATTATGTTTCTGCACTCATCCAGACTGGAGGGACAAAAGGACAGGTCAGTGCGGACCATCTTCTTGAACGTTCACATGTCATTTCAAATCACACTGATATTGTATTATTGTAAAAAAAACAAAAAAAAAAAAAACAACAACTGGCATATACTTTGGTTTAACCTCAGGATTTGGGGATTTTTTTTTTCTACACTTCTACTGATGCAAAACAGTTGATGTATACAACAGCACATTGAATGTGTTAGCTGTGGGCATAGCTTAGAAGAATTTAAAGTAATTCACCTAGCACAGAAGCCATAGCCAACTTCTTGCATGAATTCTGCAAGAGAACTCTCCATCATGGTCTTAGCTAACTCTCCCGAGTCCGGCAGGATCCTGTCCATGAGAATGTCCCGTTTTTCAGGGTACAGCAGTGGTGCGAGCACCACAGGGCAGCGCTCCTGGGGGAAATCTGAAATACAAATTTAAAAGAAATTGTGGCAGAGCAACATTGAAATACAATTTAAGTCTGACAAACGCATCTTCAACTGTGGCCATCGATACGCTAGAGTATCTGAAGAACAAGTTTGTGTCGATCCCCCATACCTCGGCAAAGTGTCTTGAGGAAGGCGTCAATCTGCTCTTGCCCTACCCCACTGGCTCCCTTCTGGCCAAAGAGTAGATGGGAGAGCAGTAATTGCAAGACCTCTATGGCAATGTCTTGGAAGCCACCTTCCTGGTTTCCTCCAAGATCCGCGTCAACGTATGACCGCAGGAGGTCCGGAAGTTTCTGCTTGATGAACTGCGCAGCTGAGACAGTTAAAAACAAGTTAGTGAAGCACAGGCTTGCTTTTCTACCATTTCCTCTGTACTGATGAGCCAAAGTTAAACTTCACTTTATCCACTAACACGCCATTGGCCTTTATAGACTCTGCATGTTTAACCGAGTGGTGAATTTCAAATCGTGCTTCAATCTACGACTCGTCAGAAATTTACAGATTTGACCCTTGACAGCCTGTAAATGTATTTGGTGGCGTCTATGAAACTAAAAACCTGCATTTGGAATTACGCCAAGCAACATCGACATGTGCGATGCCTTGCATTTGTGATCATTGAGTTTATCAATTTGCTGGTGCGACAAAAAAAGAATGCCATAGTGCAGGAAAGGAATATTGTGTTCAACATCAAAGTTTTTTGTCTTTAGAGTAAAAGGATATTTATGTGCTGCAAGTTTCAGCCAACTTTTCGTCCAACGCCACACAATTAAAAGGGTGTGGCAAACTGTGCCAAACTAGTGTTTTAACTTTTAAAAAAGTCAGACTTATCAGCAGTAAGTTTACTATTTAGAAGTGTTTTGATGACATTTAATACTTTTAATTAACATTCAGAGTGGGACTATATAAAAGAGGGTTTCACACCATCTTTGCTCCGGGTTCACATATGTCAGGCTCTACTAGATTTACTTACCAAAACCACGAAGGTCTGCGTTGCTGGAGTTGAGCAAAGCAAGTCCAAATATCACCTGGTAAATCATTAAAGAATTTAAAAATTCATGAAATTTCAGAAAGACTTCTTCAGGTTAAAACATGTTGATATTCAATACTGGCTAACTGCCAAACGTACACCATGTACTGTACCATTTAAGATTGGCAGAGCTGGCTTACCTCTTGGACTTTGCTGAGCTTAAGAACTTTACTCAGTTGAGTGAATAAATGGGCCGATGGCTTCAAACTCTGAAAGACAGTTTAAGTATATTATATTACATATCAAACATATTTTCAATGTTTATCAAAAAACCTGCAAAATGTCTGTACACTCATGGGAGTCCGAGTTGATGCCTTAGGATGGTTACAGACCAATATGTCAACTGAAAGCCAGTGCATTTTTGTAGAGATGTAGAACCGATTAAAAAAAATAAAAAAATATTTTTCATTCAGCCAATTGTAACCTAGGACTACATTTTCTTGCTTGCTTTCAGTTGCAAGTCTTGACTCAAGTCATAATGTATCCATTAATAAGGGCCATTATACATTCTGGCTACAACAGTAATAATACAGACAGTCTAGCATCCGCTTCTTACCTTCTGGTAGTGCAGGGGATTGTCAACGGCGTAACACAGAGTAGCGATAAAGTTTGGCTTGGATATCAGCGACACACACTCCTGGATCAGAAACTGTGTCTTGGGCAAGTTGAAAAGCAAAACGTACCGAGAAGAAGGAGAGAGGAAAGAGAACAGAGGCAGGTGAAGAATAAGATAAGACAGAGTCTCTCACGAGCATCAATATGAAACAATAAGCGGTATTCATAATCACAACGTGGGATACACAAACTATTAAGACTGTATATTAAAGAATCTGATAACTTATGAAACTGTGTTAAGTTTTTCCAGTCATCAACCTGTAATAAACACTGCATTGTGTTTATGCCGCCTATTCAAATGTTGGGGTTTAGCGTGCATAAGGGCCTAGAAGATGATAGAAGTGTATGGTGGCCATCACATGACTTGTTGCAACGGTTTTGGGGTCGATTACAGGCGGGGCTGATCTTGTCGTTTATTAGCAGCTGTTGTGCAGTTACATTCTGCATTTTATAATTCTACTACTGCCAACATGCAGAGGAAGCTATTGGAGTGATTTGCGAGCGGTGCGTCCAGCGGCGTTATCAGCCCTACGGAGCGGATGTTTGAAGTCACAGGTTGAGGCGTTAAGAAGGAAGATGCAGAACTATTGTGAAGTTCACAAAGAAACCGTTAAACGAACACTAGCTTAAATAATCTCGTCGGACAGGGACTTCCAGCCACCTGGCAGAGCTACGAGTGAGAGAACAGACAACAACGAAATATGAGATGTGCGTTTGTCAAATTCATTGTCCAATAATCTACTTTTGGATCGATTTGCAAGTGTTGATTTGTGTGAGAGCGATAGAGCAAGACCCGCAGCCCTGTAACTAACTTTTTTTGTTTTCACAAAATTTTTGTTTGAGTGAAATGTAGAGGAAGATCTTAAGTATCAAGCACAACCTTTTATTAATAGAGAGTACAATAATGTTGTATTTTCTGTACCTAAGTAACAAATCTACACTGGCACCTGCATGCCCAGTTTACCTGAATGGTTATGTGATATTTAATTTCAGTCTTAGCATGGTCGGAAATAATTCTGAAGTGCAACTCATTAAGTCTTACTACAATGAAATGGCCACCATGTGGATTAACATCATCACACATGAATACAATTGAGCTCAATGGATCCACACGACTCTCAGCTTTCCAGATAAACCCAATTTATGCAATACCAAGATTGTTTAGGAACCCTACCATGCAGAAACAATTTAGAATAGGCTAATAACACATTTCTACTGCATGCACAAAGCTACATGGTGTTTGGCCCTAACTGCATGGAATTAGCATTTAGTGGGCATGTCTGTAAAGGGGAGACTCGTGGGTACCCATAGAACCCTTTTCATGCACATATATTAAGGCGTGAGGTCAAGGGAGGCCTGTGAATATGGCCATGCCAGTTTTTCCCTTGCCAAAATTTTGCCTAACTTAGGAGTTTTTCAAGTCCCAGAGTCTGCTACAGCCTCTGAAAAACAGTGAAGTCGGCCGAGGAGCAGGGTGTCGTCAAGGAGTATAAAGGAATGCGGTAAGAGAAATCATTTATGAAATACAGGTTTCCCAGTGCTGCAGTTTGGAGGTAAATGTGCAAACCGGGGAAGAACATACACAGTACCATAGAGAGCTACAATGAGAGGACTTGGTGTCGGGTAGACTGCGCCAAATTTAAAAGTGCAAAATGGTCAATATCCCAGGAGCTAAATGCTTTCAGAGCAGAGAACATAGTTGTATGCATCCAGTGATTTACAAGCACAGTCTCCATTTACTACACACACTGGGCTTCGCTGTCAAATTGTCAGATTTGGCCAGCTGTAAATACCAGGTAAATGTTTGACAAATTATGCTTTCAACTGAGCATCCCAAAGAAGGAATCAGCTGGCCTTTTGACCAAAGTAGGCAATAAATAACCAACTAACCAACCAAAATAACATGTGTCTGCACATGTCCAACTTATCACATCTTGTATTTTAATAACACTGAATGCTAACTCTTTTTTAGTGCATGACTGAGGCTGGGTTAATGACAAATGTAGAAGTTTGTCAGGCTCTATGATCAGTGCTCTGCTCATCTATAAGTGAATGTGACAGACGTACCAAATGTTTGTTCCAGGGCAGCAACTAGGTCAATATGAAACTATTTTTCTTTGAAGTTTCAATATCATATTAGTACAAATTTGACTATAGACTATTCATCTAGTTTAAAACAGACCGTAGGGGTGAACCTGTAAAAATACTCAACTTCCAACAGGGGAGGGCCAACAACATTAGTAACAAAAGACCTTCAGTAAAAAAAAAAAAAAATGTATAAAAAACTAAATATAAATGCATCTCTAATCAAAAATTACCTGGTGAAAGTCCTTGCCACTGCTTTTACCATCACCACTGAAATCCACATGAGAGAAGAGACAGCGTAGTAAATGCCTGTCTGCCTCAGGGCCGTGACGATTTACAATCTGAGAGAGCACAGGTAAAACATCCAGAAGATGTGAACACAAGCGTACATTTTAGTACACTTCATAAATACACTTTCTGATATCTGTTGCCTAATGTAAAAAAAAAAAAAAAAAACACTTGATGTCTTTGTTACCACTTACATGCTGTATTTCTTGCTGGCTGGCTCGGTAGTTTTTCTTTGTTAAATTGTCCACGAGATAGCTGATTTGAGACAAAGCCAGCGAAAGCGAATCAAGATTCATTGCTAGTTGGGGCGGAAGCAGGCGGCCGAGCACGGCGCAAAATCACCATTATTCCCCTTTAGTCCCTTCAGTGATAGGTTAATTCTGCTCCCCCCCAAGGTGTAAAAAAAATGTTGGCTTCCAAATAAGTTTTCCGATCAGTGGGTCCCGGTGCTAAGTAGAGTTCTTCAGTTTAAAATCAAGTTCAGCATCTATAATGAAAGGACAAACAAGTTAAAAGTGATATTATTTTACACACACAATACGTTTTGCAATAGAAATGAAAGAAAAAGCAACAGAAACAAAAGGAGGAATTCCGATGCAAACAGCCCCAAACATTGAGTTCTGTAGTTTTACTTCCATGCAGGACAATATTTACACTCAATTGTAACCACACAATCCTGTGACAGGATTCGAGGCCTACGTGCATAACAAACAGAGTGCAGTGAAGTCTATTTTAGCTGCACATGTATCTGCTAATACATCCCCAAACTATGGTCAATACCAGTTAAAGCTAGGTAGTTTAGAACGATACTTCCTCAGATATGTTGTAGTTATGTAAACATGCCGTGCCAATAGCTCGTACTAGGCCTCGACTGCACCCAGATATCTGGCACAGAGATTGAATGCTAACGTGAGTTAAGTTGCTCACCGAACTTACCAACTTTCCGTTTACAATAGCACGATAACTGCCGCGGGTTTATCATCCAATTCATAAGTACAGAGCATTAAAAGCAGTTAGCCCGCTATTTCTGACGACTAACGTTAATGGACAGAGAGTTAAAATCACCCACTGAAACAAAGAGCAAGCTAATCCGAGTTAGCAAATGTTACTAGAAGGCAATCCGAGTAAATGTACCGCTTACCTAACGGTTAGCATCGTAAAATCACCAGACATCCTAAATGAGTCCATGCTAAGTCACTGAATTGATTTAAAACAATACTCATGTGCGAAGTGGGTAAACCTAGCGTTAGCCACGTACGTTAGGCTAACATTACCATGACGCTGATAAACACTTGCTGGGGGAAAAGTTTGAGTGAACATTAGCCAACATGTTTACAGGATAAATAAGCTAGTGTTAGCATTAGCCGTGAAATCCACTACACTGTAACTAGCTTCAACACACTTAATGTTATAGTCGTATATATATACTCATCAGAATTACTTGTCCGTGTCCATATATAACGTTAACCTCTGTGAAATAGCACCAACTCCGGTTGGCTGCGAGCTAATGCTACCAAGTTAGCATTTACGTGAAGCTAACATTAGCAACATGAGCCTGTTTCAAGCTGGTTTGAATGAATCGGCAAAACCAACTAACGTTGTGTTTCCTGTTTATTTATTACTATGTTTAAGAGCCATTTTGTCTAGCTAACCGTGTATTAAGATTTCGAGATAGTTACACATGCATCTGCCATGAGCGTGAAGGCCTCGTATTGCGGATGGATGTTTGCGCGATCGTGCTACCGTTAGCAGTAACCTTGTTAACGTTAGCTTCTTTCTACGGGCACTGACTAATGTCTGGAACCGCTAAGATTGTATGCTAGTTGGAAACGCAAACTATCATGCAACGAAGCGTAAACGTTACATAGAGCCAACGTCTCCAGCGAAAATGCGACTAATGTAGTTATAGAGAACTATGGTACCTACGTTGCACGAAAAACGTTGCTAAATTACAGAAATTAAGTTTTTTTGATGTGACCAATATGACAGCTGCTTTTCAGCAAATAGACCACCCCCGCACTGCTGGCTAACGTTCATCCTCCGTATCAACATCGTTGCTTATGTGTTGTATATAATTCGGTCGACGGTTGTTCACCAACTATATTTTAAATCTTACCGTGCTCCCAAGAAAGTGATTCAGGTTTTCATCCCTTCTTGTTTCGCACAACAAACTTGACGAAATGGAAGGGTCGCTGTGCCTCCAGTTCAGTTTGATTTTCAAAATAAAATGGCGACTGTCACCGCCGCGGCGCGGTCACGGCTGGAGATGAGTGCGTGAGCTTATCCGCGCGACTCAAACACAAGGTGTTCGCCAGTAGACACCTGAAAACAACGGGTTTGTTGTTTCTCGACATAAATGCAAAATTAATGGGTCTTTTTTTTTTTTTGCTTAATTTTTTTGAGGGAAACTGGATTAACGAAAACTCGAAACCAGAAGGCAATATGTGAAACATGTTTGTTTTTTTCACAAGTAAAAAAAAAATGCACATTGTTTGCACTTGAATGACAGATGAAAAATGAAACTACCCGCCACCACCTGTTTTCAATAAGTCTTAAAACGGGACAGTATAACTGTTAAAGGGGCATTCCACCAAATGTACACATGAAGCACAGGCTGACGCGTTATGACGTTAGCAGCACTACTTAGCCTAAAAACAGTTATTATGCCTGTAAGTGTCCTGACAACCTGATAGGCAACCTAATTGCTGTTCATAGCATAGGTGAAACTTGAACACGAGATGGTGTAAGAGAAATTAAGGTTGTTTTGTCGCACTATTTTTTAAACCATTGAGTGTAAAGACCCAGCAATAATCCCCTGATTGCCTCATACGGGAATTGCATATGTTTCCTGTGCTGGACTATTGTTTCATTGTCAGTGCTATAAACCTGCAAGAGGATGGTACACATAGGTACACAGGTATTGTAAAAAAATATAAAGATAAAAGTCTGCTGCTGGAATCGAGCTTGCACCCAATGTCTAATCATAATGACCAAAACCTTACACAAAATCACAGGGGACAGGAGCAACAACCAGAGAATGACATAGAGTTTAAAAAAAAGTCAGGTCTGATATAAGTGACCTATGATTATATATACGATAATGTGCTGAACAGCTCCAACATAAACGATATTTTGTTTCACTCCAACTGTTTATGGGCCGCAGTGGACATCTCACAGACACTCCATTTCAAAACCTCAGCTAATAAAATCATAAAACGAAATAATTTTTTAGAGATATGCATTGGGTATAACTCTTTAAAGGCAAATACAGATGGGTGACATATGTGGACTGATGGCTTTGAGAAAACTAGCAGCAACAGGGAAGGATCAAAACATGATATATCTAAAAAACGTGCTGGTCCAGTAGGTGGCGGTAATACTGTAAACTGTAAACACCAGAAGAAGAGCTGCTCCCCCTCCTCCCACTACAGGGAGGGCTGTAGTAGAACACTGGTGGAGTAACGCCAAGCAGCGTTTTATCCTCACTCTGTCGGTAAAGGCGCAGGTTTATTTGGGCAACATTGCAGTGCAGATAAAAATGTCGTTGTGGGCGAAGTCGTCTGCAGCTGCCCGGCGGCCACCAGCTAACGCGAACCCAAACGGAAGGTAAGCCCCAATGGTAGCACGTTTAGCATTAGCAGCGGACATGCTAGGTGGTAGCAGCAGCAGCAGTGGAAAACAAAACAGTGTGGGTTTCTACAAACTTGACACCTGCCTCCTCCACCACCAGTCAACGGTAGTACACGTGAGTTGTATTTGATACGGTGCACTTAAAAACCTCTTCCTGTGTGTTGTGCAGTGGTCAACAGCTGCGTCTGTTTCGGAGAGGAGCGCCTTACCCCACCAGAGAGGAGAGGAGCGAGGAGCTCAAGGATGTCCTAGACAGGTGACGTTTACCAGCCTTCTACGAATCACCGACATTCATCTGTCAGCCACCACTGGACAGCTGTAGTAGGAGATCCATCTGGGCCCCTCTCATTCTTAAATATTTCCATTTGTAATAATGGACAAGGAATGTGTTGTGGCACACAGAAAAAAAAAAAAACATGCATCACAACTGGTGTGGACTGGCAGTGGCTTTCTGTAACTGCTGCCAGCTGAAGTGAATGGCTCTTGTTTATTGTTGCATCAGTTAGGCTGGGACAGCTGACACCTGATTTTCAGTCAACATGGTTTAACCTAAATATTTCAGCAACTTACAGCAGAATGTTTGGATATGGATTCATAATTTCAGAAACTCCATTTTGGGTCTTTTATAACAGCTTCAATCATATCATGTCATGTCATCACATACAGTGACCTAGTAAACAGCAGGCATAGAAAGGCCTTCCTCCTTAAAATGTAACTGAAAGATGCTCCTGTTTCACCGCCTTTCTTTCAGCTACGAAGAACTGGAGCAAATTCAAAACTACAGCGGAAGTGTGAAGTACGAGGCGTACAAGCATCAGCCAAACGGTGAGAAGGTTTCTCTATATTGATCACTAAAAGCACAGTAACCACTTTGCACCAGTCTCCATATGAAAATCCATGCTATGTAATTGTGTTGCTGCAGCTTTAATGAAGTAAAACTGCATTTCATCAGCATTCCCCATTGGTAAATATCACATCTTATGTTATGGTCATATGTGTAGGCCATTTCAATGACCTTGCTTACTGTTTTTAAATGAACCAAACATCTGCTCTCATTTCTCTACCTTCAAATTCCCATTTCTCTTTTATCCTCTAATCTCTCCGTCTCCCTTTACCCACCCCACCAGCCAAGCCAGACGGCTGCACTCCAGCAGACCGACGTAAAGCCCTGTATCAGAAGTTCTACAGACAGGTGCAGGAGGAGAGGAAGCCCGCCGACTGTGTGGTCCTCTCTGTCACCAACCGGTGCCTGTGAGTACTCATCATTCAAATTTAAACAACAAGCAGTCCAGGTAGAAGTTCGCTTGTACATGCAGGGTTTGTACTTGACTGCTGTTTTCATTACTTTCATATAAAAGTATTGTTCCTGTTTTACTTGCTGCACACACTCCATATTCCCTTTCGTACCTGGGCCACTGAGAATCAGTGGATTGTACGTCGGATGTCGGAGGTGTCGATAGCCGAATCCACACCCTTGAATACATGCGTATTGTAATTGTATTGATATTTATTTCTCCAACAGTGTCAAGCACACGCGCCGTTCCACCAACGCTTTCTATCCACTGTACAGTAGATGTATGTGTAATATGACTTGGATCACACATTCTGTTAAAAGGGTACTACTGTTGCATACTAGCGACATGCTACACACACAGGTCAACATGTGTGCTAATGGTTCAGCAGTGGATGTTGCACTGAGCTCAATAATGAAGTCCGGTAATTTGATCCACCTTCATCCCCCTTAGATGCAAAACGAGCGCTGCTCTGTAGGGTTACTGTTGCATCCTATGTACAAATGATGGTAGAAGTGCATAAAACATTTACGCTCACGACACAATGCAACATCAAAAATAAAGTCATGCAAGACACTCTCTCACACACACACACACACACACACACACACAAATGGCAACTTTGAAGCTATACCACAGTTGGCAGCTGCGTCTGCATCTATGGAGTGACACGGTCGCAGTAGCAAACCAACAGCGCTAACTCTGCTATGCTACTAATCATGAGACCTAGTTTGGATATCAGCAGGCTGTCCAGCACATATTACCGTAACATTGTAATTGCTTTTCTTTTAAAAACGTGTAGAGTTTTGATTCTAATGTCACAGTAGGACAGATGTGGATGTTGTCGTTCACTTTGTGTTCTGGTTGCAGCACACATTTTGCATAGTGCATTCATTCAAATGCCTCTTTACCACCTTAGCTAATGACTTTATAGCCAGTTTCACATGCCATAAGGACGTATGAAAATATATTGCTGCTGGTTTGAATAGTAAACACCAAACCTCTGTAGGGTTTAAAAGGTGGCTCTGGCAGCTGCAGTCAGCTTGGATGCTTTGCATTAACATTGAATTCTAATGAGGCCTCAGTTTCCCTGTGGGGGGGGGATAACAAGTATCACAATGGCCATGAAAACATCTGAAACCACTCCTGCAACATCAAACTCTCTTCCTCTGTCACGTACACTGTGGACAGACAAACTGCTAATGTGATGGCGGTAAGCAGATGCTGTTTATTTTTTGTTCACCCAGTTCTTCCAAAAGCTGCTTTGTCCTGCTTCTATGTCGGTGGATGTCCTCCTACGTCTACCAGAGTTGGTATCGCTGCCTCTTCCAACACATTTCACATTGCACGGTCACTGAATTTTGGAGCGTACATTTGGGAATGAAGCCCGTGCTCCATTTTTCACGGGGACTAACATGAAAGCATAACATTTACCATTGGCGCTTTACAAAGGTGTAGCCTACATGCCTCCAAACTCAGCCACATGCAGACAATCATCCACAGCTGTTTCAAACGCCAGCATTCAACAGAGTGTGCTCTCAAAAGTGCAAACTGCCAGTAGCCGCTACAGCGGTTGTTTTTTTTTTTGTGTTGGTCCTTCCTTGGACAGAAGGACCGCCATTCTTTGCAAATTCACACAAGTCTTCCATATGAGTAAGACTCTCTGTTTTACTCGATATGCTACCTAAACACATACTGCTACAACACTAAATACTTCCACGAGAGAGCCAAAAACCTGTGTTTTGGTGCCACACAAAGCTCCACATAACGCTACACTTGTCTAATTGAAGATCCATATAAACAGATTTCACCACACAAGAGGAATGATGACCTTTCTTCACCTTATACATCAAGAAATAACCCTCTGTTCCTCTCAGATATACCATTTAGGTTCCTCTACATGCCAGCGGAGTCCCTTAATACAGACATGTCAATTTAACAAAGTGTTTCTCTTCCTCTCAAAGGGATTACCCCAAATCGCTAAGCCAGTGCTTGCAGGAGCGTGGCCTGTCAGTGGAAATGCTCTACCTTCAGGCGGAATCGGGCCTGACCCGAGCTCTGCAGGACGTCCGAGCAGACGGCTCCCCGTTATGTATTCTGGTGGAGCAGACAAACGTAGTTCTGTCCTCCTGCACTGTTATCATATTCTCAGAATCCCTCAAAAGTAAGTCCCTGCCCCCTCATTCCTTGAAGCTTAGCCAAGCCACCTCAGTGACCTCCTCCCCCTTTTCAACCAATGGTCTATTGCAGCTTACGTTTTACTTGGATTCCACCAAAAAAAAAAATCTTAAATATAGATTTCACAAGAAATGCTCCCATTAAAACACCAACAAGTAGATTTCTAAAGCTACAATTCTGCACTCGACTGAAAAAGACAATCTCTGAGTCCATCAACTATTCACATTATTCATTCAGTATATACATCAATGGCTCGTCATCGACCGGCTGCCACTGTAATACACTTTGACATTACATGACAGCTCACACTTAACAAACTGAAAGAAGCCCAAAAGTAGCAAAGTAGCGATGTAAAAGGGTTAGTTCCACGTTTTGACACTACTCTCATATCTGTCTGGATATGAAGCTACCAGCGCCTCCAAAGCCCACTGATTAACACTTTGGATCCTGTTTGTTTTTATCTTCACATAAACCTCAACACGGCCAGAACAAAGTGTAAAAACGACTCATGGGGATTTTACAGGGCAGCGTTCATACGCGTTCTGGAAAACCCAGGCTAGCTGTTTCCATTTTATGCTAAGTTAAGCTAACTGGCAGCTAGCTGTAGCTTCACATGGACTGTACAGGCATGAGAGTGGTATTAAAAGTGAACAAGCAAACTTCCCAAAATGTCAAACTATTCCTTTTTTTTTTTTTTTTTTTTTTTAAAGGAAAACTCTGGACTTTGGATATATTTTCAAAGCTTGGGCCATCGGCTTTATTAAGATTGTCTATATATATATGTCTCTATATATATATGTCTCTATATATATATGTCTCTATATATATATACACACACACACACCATGAGCTGCATACAACTGATCAACACATAGCTGGCTACAACAATTTCTATATTTATAATGAAAATGATTTAATCATGGGGAAATACACGTCACTGATTCATTAATGTGATTTAGATGCCCCACAAAAACATTTTAAATAGCACACCATGCACAAACAAATATGCGTTATATACAAGAACATCAAAACTGTGCAAAGGAAAGTTATTATTCCATGATAATGCTTATTTCTGTGTAGTTTACAAAAAGGAAGCCAAAATACATTCTACACAACAAAAACAAAATCTTAAAGCAAATATAATAAAGGAATTATTTATTGCACCGGATAATTTAAATACACAAATCATCTCAAGTTTTACTGTCTCATGTCTAAATGCATGAGGGGAAAAAAATAAATAAGTGTCCCAATCAAGTATTTTAAGTCCAGGAACATAATGCAGCCAGAAATAAAGTTACTGATTACCTTCACACAAATGGCATCAAAGCCACTCCTCTCCCAACAAACCACAACTTGCATACCTATTCTAAAGTGCTTACTACCAAAAGTACTAATTTATCAGTTGTATTTGCTGACCATAATGTCACAAAATGACAAATTTGCTATATTATCTGAGTGACCAGTGAGAACTAGGGCTGTGCCAAATACCATATTTGGGGCTTCGAAGCTTCAGCGAGGAATAACCGACGATATTCGAAGCTTCGACGGGTGCGTTAAACGACAAGACACGCAGTCGGACTTTTCTCAAACCTGCGCTCATTATTTACTTAATTTGTACTTTACTTTTATATATACAGTGGGTACGGAAAGTATTCAGACCCCTTTACATTTTTCACTCTGTTTCATTGCAGCCATTTGCTAAAATCAAAAAAGTTCATTTTATTTCTCATTAATGTACACTCAGCACCCCATCTTGACAGAAAAAAACGGAAATGTAGAAATTTTTGCAAATTTATTAAAAAAGAAAAACTGAAATATCACATGGTCATAAGTATTCAGGCACGTACCAAACAGTGCTACCCGTTTGGGGATAACTCATAATAATTCATGTTGATGAATAATGTGGAATTACTATTCCTTATTTCATATGCTGATTGGGATTTTTGGGGGTAATGCATATGCTTTATATGAAAATAAAACCTGATGCATCAAATACTGATTTGGACATCGATCACCATGGCAACGGTCGAAGCTTCGAAGCGTTTAGGTCAGCCTTAGTTTGAGACCAGTTGATTTCTACCGTTTTGTCTGTCTTACGTCTCCCCTGTCTTCCCCTTCAGTCTCCTGACACCTCACCACTAACATTTCAACCCCCCCCCCCAGTCCATCGCAACATGCCCAAAGACCAGGCCATGGACTTTGTTGCAGCCGAGTACAGTCGCAGGCGCGTCAAAGAGCGCAAGCCGAAGGACCCCGCTGACAGTGCAGCCCAGGCGTCGCAGCTGCTGGATGACTTTCTGGAACGGGAAAAGATGGAGCGCCACGCGGTTCCCTCCGAAACCCGCCAGCTCGTCTTGCTGCTAGCTGACGGGGTGCATCTCTACCCCGAGGAGCTGGAAACCATCTCGGAGTATGTCCGTTGCCGGCAGGAGCACACACAAGGTAGTTAAACTGTAGTACCTCGAAGAGCTGGGACTGGTGCTGTGTCCGTCTCACTGATTGCACCTTTAACTAATTATCTGTCTGTTCTTTCTCTTTCGGTCCTACGTTTTCCTGTCTGTGGTTCTTTCATTTTTGACTTTTCTGTCTTCCAGCATCCAACACCGAGGGACAGAGGGGGAACATGTTACCTCCAGGACTGGGGAAACCGCCTCCTCTGCTGCCGACGCCACCCGGGCCCCCTCAACCTCAGTCTGCAGGTGGGCCCCTGATGGATCACCCCCTGGCACCGGCTCCTCTCTTGCCTTCACCAGGTTAGACTGCATAGTCTTGCAGTATAATTGTTGCTGGTTATCCGGTAAAAGGCATTAGTCGGATCACATTTCTGCAACAGCACATATGCAGTTTCACTATCTATTTTTTAAGTTTTGAGAGTCTCTGATCTAGAACAACAAGAAAAGGACTTGATGAGCAAATTGAAGTCTTGAGTTGTCAGTGCAGTGTTTAAATGGACTACATCGTCATGAGATGTTTCTAACATACACATAACTTCTCATCCTTTCATCTGCAGTGTCTACAATGTAGATGTGGTACGTCCTATCATAATGTCTCTCTTTCTTTATTTTAAGGTTCTTATCCCAAAACCAAACCTCCTCCTCTCCTGTCCTTGCATCGGCCTTCTGGTCCATCGTTAGGGGCCTCATCTTCTCGAGGCCCCCAGTCCTCACACAGCCTCTACGGTGCCCCCCCCGTGTCTCGTGGGCCGTTACTCCATCACCTTCCTCTATACCACCCAGGCCCCAGGGGCCCTCTCCTAGGTAGAGGAGCCCCGCCTTCTCTAAAGAGTGCCCGCCCTCCACTTCTCGCTTCTCCAGGTGGGTCACTTCAACTTTTTTTTCATTCACCTTTGTCTTGATATGGATTTCTCTTTTGTCCTTTTTAATATGAAGTATATAGGTTGCGCATGTATATTAAAAAAAAAAAAAAAAAACTGAACTAAAACCAAATACTGGGTTTAAAAACACAATGAACATCAACTTAACCTTATTGTGTAACCCTGTTTTTTCTTTTCTCCTGTCTCCCTTTGAACAGTTGCCCTTCTTCCACGACCGAGTGGCCCCCGACACTAAAAAAAATACCAGACATCCACTCAAACACACACACACACTGTTACACATGCAGGCTACAAGTGCCAAAAGTGTTTTGAACATTTCATCTAACTCTAGAACAGAAGACTTGTGGAGCCTGCATCAGTCACTTTTTCTTTATTTTTCTTCTGTTATAAAAGTGACTGTTTGGTGAAAAAGATGGTAGTTAATGTGAAATAATATCATTGTGGACGGAGTTTAAGGATGACATGGAGTATTCTCATGACTGATCATTTTAAGTATCTTTTCCAAAATCCCTCTTTCATTATTGTTCTTCCTTTTTCTTTATAATGTACTGTGCTTTTCACACAGTCATCTCATTTCAAAAAAAATTAAATAATAAAAAAAACATGTTCCATACTTCGAGTTTTCCGTTTAAGATTTGTTAATGCAGGTTCAGGCTCTAGTGACGCGCTGCACAGGATGAACATTGTACATCGGACTTAACTAGCTGAATGCACAAAAGATCCTGGCCACCAATGGACAGCTGGCTAATGGGACCTTTTATTTTTCTGTACGTAATGAATATAGCGAGTAGCCTACCTGTGTTTCAAGGAGTTCGCCAAGATTATCTTGAGTTGAAAATTTAAACAACCAATTAAAAGTCTGCTTTTACAAGCTGTATTCTTGGCTCACACTTTATTTTGTTTGTCTCAATTTTTTTTAATGTCATAAGTAGAATAAATCAGTCTGAAGGAGTTGGTGTTGTGATTGACGTTCTAAATTTGCATGTACAACTTCTGCCACAACAAAATCAATGAATCTTCCATCATTGATCGGTCAGTTTCACTCTTCTTGTGCGTTCCCTTAGAACGCCTTTCATGCTTCGTTCACGTTAGAGTAGTGACGCTAAGAACGACTAACGTGCACCCTGGCAGAAAGAGAACAACCTCTGGACTGTTCGCAGGCTTTGCTGCGACATCCAGAAGAGCAAAGGACCATCTTGCGTCGTAAGAGGTCGCTTGTAATGTTTGCTAGTGTAACCTAAAGTTCTATGAATCTCTTTATATTATGTCACAGATTTATGAAAATCCAAGTGAACAAATATTGTTAATTTTACAAAACATGTTAACACAGAAAATAACTAAAGGATAGCTATTCAGTTAAAAAAATGAGATCTTGTGCCGTTTGTTTTTATAACTTTTGACCCATTGCCAGAAACCGCAGATTAACCGCAGACATATTCATTTGCAACACTGCCGTATTTTTCTAGTTCAGATAAGGCAGCAATCCTTTTATGAAGTCGTCTCCCCGTCACTGTATACCAGTAACATGTCACAGCTGCTGTAACGTGTACTTGTGTGTGTGTGTTACCTCGGCTGTGAGAAATCTTTTAAAATATGTGACTGTTGAAAAGTGATGATGTTTCGTTGTGTGGAAAACATTGACGGGTTAAAGATTACAGATTACACACCAGCAAGAAGTCGTTTGTTTCTTTTCATCTGCTCAACATTGTCTTCTGTGTTGTAATTAATGTTTGAAACCTGTCGTCTTTTAAAAAAAATATATATATATATATTTTTTTATATACACAGTATAAATTGTAATGTTCAACAAGTTTGTGCTGTGGACTAGTTTTCTTTGATGTGCTTTATTATATTAAATATTCAACAGGTATGGAGACGTCTACAAGTGTTTCTTCTTTGGTTCAAGAAAGAAATAAAAGTGACCTTTATTAAGTATACACTCCCTTTATCAGTACTGACTGATGTACCATTTTATTGAATCACAGAGAATGTTATGTTATTTTATTATTAAGCAAAAGATAGTCTTGAATCTCGATGTGAAAAGTCTGTACAGTTTAGTCAAAGTTAGCTGGGAATAAATTGCATATTCCACCTTCGCATTAATATTTTAGAAGAGACCCTTCGGGTAACATATGGCCTTGAGTCTGAGTCAAAAGGCCGACATTTATTTTTTAACATTAGTGCTTTACAGTTGGGAGCTACTTGGGGTTTCTTTTCTTGCTCAAGGACACTTGGACATGTAGACATGGAGCCGGAGTTCGAGCTGCAAACTAAGCGGTGAATGAACATTATGCAGAACAGCATAGTGTTCACTCCTCCTCCTGGTAGAGTTTATCAGCTTTGTCTATTATCTGACTCCTGGCAGAATACAGCAATGTAGTATTTAAGTGGCATGGACGTATTTATGTATCCTTCCCCTCATTGGCGCTGTTCAGTAACCTAGCTTCAGATTTGTTTGACATTCTCCTTTGACTTTATGTTCAAGTTAACAAACCAGCATTTGGGCCCGATTATATACGGAGGATCTTCATCTCATTCAGCTGTTGCAACGTTGGCTTTGTCATAATGGAGGGTGAATAGAGGAGGAGACAGACAGTAAATACTTTTGCTTCAATGGTTGTGTACAGGGCAACATGGGTGAGGATTCAGTCTCAATGTCACAATATGAACCCAACTATTCTTGCTTGCAGTAATCAAACCCTCCTTTTCAGAGATTCCTTCCTCATTCACTTCAGTGATGGAGGACAAAATTCACAAGCCGTGTTTTCTGAAGCTACTGATATGGGTCTTCTGCAGTCTGAGCTCTCAAATAAAATGAGTTTCCTCCAAAGTTAGGTCTTTTGAGTAAGAAATTCCCTCCTTGTGTCACTATATCTGTACTGCAGCTCAGCAAAGAAGCACTGTCTGTGAACACAAAGGGAGTTGAATGGCAGTTCTGGAAAGTTCTCAAGAAATACAAGGGCTTGTGGGGGAGGGAGAAGGAGCTTTACTGGGAAATATGTGAGGTCATTCAATTTCAAGTAAGAATGGTAAAGGTGTATGTTGTCCCTCTCTAATTGGTTAAACACAGCTAGCAATCAAGGAGACTGAAGGAAATGCCAATCAAGCACATACTTACACGGTCCTAAGAAGGGGTCTAATTCGGCACAATAAGTGAGAACACCTGCGTTGGTATAGTGTGTGGGGCTTTTACTTTATATCTTCAGAAACAGTGGTGACGTCAAGGATATACGTCCATATTGTATGCAGTAAATGAGAATACCATACTATTTGGTATACCAGAAAAAGATTTAGTGTGTTCAAATACATAGTATGTCAAATGCAGAAGGCCAAAAATGCCAGGATGTCCGATTGGTACCTCAGGTTACATTTTGCAATATGCCAGCCAGCATATTTTCTGGTTATTCTGACCCACAATCCTCTGCACAGCAGAAGATGCGTCACATCGACTGAGCATATGACAGGCTGATGAAAGTTCACTGATAGAAACTACAATGACAGACGAAAGTTATGCAATGTTATGACATAGTATATCCCAATGCTATGCTATGCCCTGCCCCTTTCTGCTACTCAGAGCTGTCAGATTTTTACCATGGAGCCCACACTGTCACTATCCGCACATCCTGATCTAATTTTTGGGAAAACGAAAAATCAATTTCAAAGAGAAGCAGACAGAAGCATCTACATTATTTGTATATCCAGGATATATCCAGGATGTCAAAGCAGTGAAATCAGTGTAAAAAGATAAAAAATAGAAGCGAACGCCCACAGATCGCAGTTTAAAAGTGAACCACCACATCACCTGCAGATCAAGACAGAAGACAATTAAATAAAGAAACAGCACTGTTCCTGTAAAGCCAGGTAATTCTTTATTCACTGTTGCAATAATTAAAATGCAAACGCAGCTTGTGTATGCATTCAGTAAACCTAGTTAGCGTAGCATAGAAATGCTAATGCTAGTTAACAATGTGCTAACGTACTCTGCTAATGTTAGCTCCACAGGTTTTTACGTAAGAACGTCTCGCTTTAAAAACACATATCTCCCTCCAACCTCTACGGGTAACGAGTATCACTATAACACATCGTTTAACCACGACTAGCTCAAAATCCACAAAATCAAAGACTGATCAAACTGAGGAGAATCAGAGACATTTCAAACAAGTACACACACTCTTTGACCAGCTTTAATCAAGCAAAAGAAGTGAAAACACCTTTATGGAAGTAGCACATCTGCACAGTGCACATCAGAGGTTTCGGGTATCTAAGCATACTTCATCTCTTGTAACTTAGATTTTAGTTTAATTAATAAGAGTTTCTTTTGTAACACAGTGAAGCCAGGTACCCCCTGCTCTCATGGGATGGATAAATACACTGTGTGCAGTGACAATCAGTTTAAGCAGAGAGTGAATTGTAAAAACAGGCACAAATAAGCCTCAATGGTGACGTTATGAATTGTATACTCTAGATGGCGACGTACACCTGCTCTTTTACAGACATACGCCACAAGGACAACATTTCAACAGTGAACATGTAGAAATGGTTTGTACAGAAAAATAAAGTTTTTAATTCCAAGTCCTCAGCTTATCATGTTTGTTATTAGTCTTATTGTAATTCTTGCTCCTAATATTGACAAAGACTGAATTCCTAAGACTTGACTGGAGTGAGCAGGGTTACTTATTATACAAAAATACACTCTCCTTTATAGGCTTACTTATATTATAATGTTTTATACATGGAAATATACACTGCAAATGTGCTTATGGTTATGATATATTTAAGTCAGCAACAATGTTTTACTTGCTGTATGTGCTTAACACACGCAGAAGCAGGTTATTCCTTGTATTTTTATTAGGCTATTTAGCATATCACTTTCAGATAATCTATTTAATCTAATAGTTCCATTAGTTTTTTAGACAATTTCTTCATTTTTTTACCATATGCCATATGCATGCAAAATATGTGTGAGGGAAACCATGTCTCTTCTCTAGTCCCCACTCTTATCTGAGTTACAATCTTTCAAATCAAGTATATGCAAAAATTAAGGTTCATTAAAAATATGCATGAATAATTTATAACTATTTATAATTTTATTTTGCCTATTTTGGTCTAGTCTGTAAATTCTAACGAGCATCCTGTAAAACTAAAGTTAGCCATGTCTGTATAAAACTCTGAAACTGTGTTCCATAGCTACTTTAATTTTTTTAAATGTATTGTGGTGAATTATTGTTGATAGAGTTTACGTTTGTACTATTTTCCGGTGTTTTCTGCATGAAGGCGATTAACAACTTCTTTGAAAACTGCTTTAAAAATAAAGTTTTATAAATATTATGGCGAAGTAAAAGTGGGAGTCAAAGACACAAACACACAGAGGGTGAATATATATGTCTGATATTTTCTTCTTGTTGGTTCCTCCTCCTCTCATCCAGCTGTGGGCGCACTGCTGCGAGGAGCCCATCAACTCAGGAAGTAATGGACAACTGTCTCCACCTCATTACACCAGCCTACACACCCACACCCCCCCCCCCCCCCCCCCC